GACTTTTCTGAGCCTGTCAAGTCCTTCTTTTGACCCATTTTGCCAAAGGAAAGGACGTTGCCTAATAATTATGCACACCTGATATACGGTGTTGATGTCATTAGACCACACCCCTTCTCGTTACAGAGATGCACATCACCTAATATGCTTAATTGGTAGTAGGCTTTCGAGCCTATACAGCTTGGAGTAAGACAACATGCATGAAGAGGATGATGTGGACAAAATACTCATTTGCCTAATAATTCTGCACTCCCTGTACACCTTTCTTGGCTGCTACCTCAAAGCACATTGTGCGCTGTCGATCTTGCGTGCTGCACAATAACATTTAATATTTATTATCTACTGCTACCTAGTTCAGCGTGATGGTGTTGTATTTATTATGTTGCTCTTTTTTGTTTGTTTTCTCTTCTGTTTTTTTTTCTCCATATAGTTGATCCAGGTGTTTTGTTTGTTTTTCTTTCTCCCCCCTTTCTCACCGTCTCTTCTCCCCTCTATTTTTCTTTCTCTCCCTCTCTTTCTTTCATTCTTTCTCCCTGTCCTATCCCCTAATCATGTCTGTCCCGTCTGTAATAACAGGAAATAAAATAAAATAAATACATAATTAGAATAAAGGTCAATCAAATGGACCAATATGGCAAGGCCATGGTGATCCACTTGGTAAAGTAAATCTTTCTTGGCCTTAAGACAACAATTCTGATGGCTAAAGATCTAAATGGGACAGGCAAAAGGCCGTTATGGAGCTTTTTGTACTTAAAAAACACATTAATGAATCAAAGCTAATCAGTGCTCTGTGTATGACTTATTTAGTGAGTCAAAAATACAAAAGAGTGGCCGTACAAATAAAAGTTTAAAGTTTGACTGTTGTTTTAGGTTCAGTGCTGCCATCTTGGATTGCTAACTCACAGTATCTGTGTCTGCTCAGACTTTCCAAGCAGTAAATGTGAGTTGAGTTCCACAAAAAAAAAGAAATTTCCAACTTCTGGCTTATTCAGAAATTATCATCAGAGATTTTGGGTGAGAATGCTGTGAGAGGTTGCCTCACCCCATCATGTGATGTATTGAGGTCACCTGAAGAAAGATACTAGTGGGGGTTGATGTGCCTGGGAAGAGATCTCAAAACAGGATTGTAGTTGGCTGACAGCTGACACCATAAGGCACCACCTCTGGTTAATGATGGTCATTCACAGTAGAGATGGCCTCTTTCACTCCTCTTTCAAACCATCATACTAGTCTGTTCAAATGTGAACACTGGCACCTATGAGTGATATTTGATATGATATTGGGAACAGAAGAAACCAAATAAATATTTGGAGATCATTGTCTGTGCATAATCCTGGAGAGTGAGTGAGTGAGGTGGCCTGAAACTGAGAACAACACATTTTGGGAAGACAGCATTCATGTATCGCACAATAAATGTCTGTGGATCTACACAAACATTGCTGATAAGATGACTCGAGATAAAATATCCAACTTATGATGATCCACACACACTGCACAAATCACATAAAAGTAAATAAATAATAATAAAACATGACTATGAGCTGGTAAATATGTCACCTGACCTGAAACAACAGAAGGTAAGAAGCAAACACAAGAAGCAAGCCTGCATGTTTGCAGTGGACAGGAAATGTGAACACGTCACACAACTGCTGTGGTCAAAGCTACAGGAGCTGTTTGAGGTTTGTATAAAAGGAAAGGAAGCACAGAGAGGCCACAGTCAGAAGAAACACTCTGCTCTTATCTGTATTAAATGCAGCTTCTCTTTTATTATTGATGTAAAGTCAAAGTGTTTGAGATCAGCTGAGGATCAGAGTGCAGCAGGGCTGGATGTGAGGATGGGGCACTCTTTGCTCTGCATGATGGGGTTATTGTGTAAGTACATTTGTGACATTGTTTGAATGGCACTGATTAATGAAAGTGTTTCTCATGTGTGAGAATTAGAGTGTATCACTGGTTTGAAGTGTTTATGTGAGAGTTTGAACAAAGCATATTTGTGATGTTTATGAAAGTTACAGACAAATGTTGGCTGGTTCCTTGGTTCAGTTTAGTCTGAGTATCATGTTGGATACATCGCTGCTTGTTGCACTTGACTCATTGCTGTGTACAAGTTCATATATTAATAGTGTTTTATGCACAGAAATATTTTGATGAGCAGTAACTGTGTCATGTGAAAATTAATCTTTAAAAAACACTTTTGTTCATTTTGAGTTTGATTTTCTGTCAGTTGATGTTCTTGATAATGTTTAATCTTTACTTTAATGCTTGGTACTCTCTTCTACGTTAATGCATAAAGTGAGAAATGGTTTTTTTCTCTCTTCACATTTATATAATATGTAAATTTTATCTGATATTTTATATTTCATGCACCATTTTAAATCACATTCCTGTCTCTCTGTTTGTGCATCGTTTTATTTAAGATACTAAATGGGTTTATTAACAATGAGTGAGTTAAATCCTGCAGGTCTGTGCAGTCACTCTGTGGTTTTACTCAGAATATTAATTAACTGCTTTAATTTGTTTCATAAAAACACATCTTATTATTTTCAAGTCCAAATGTCACCAGGATGCAGTAAATCTTTTGACTCTTAACAGCAGCAATAAAAATCAGTTCAGCTTCAAAATGACTTTATGCTTCCATCAATCTCTAACTTGATGTGTTTATATGAACAGTTCCCAATAAGCCCACCGTGATCCTCGAACCATCCTGGCCTCAGATACACAGCAGTGAGACAGTCACTGTCAGATGTGAAGGAACTCAGTCGCTGTTTGTATGGAGAGAAGACAAGTTAATCAGACCTCGAACATCTGAATACAGAATCAGCAGAGCTACTGAGTCTGACAGTGGAGGATACAGCTGCTGCACCATAGCTGATTTAAAGTGCAGTGACTTCATCACACTGACTGTATCATGTAAGTTGGACACATTTCATTGAGTCATATTGTTCTTTGTTTTAGTTTAGTAACAAAATCAGAGAAAATCGTAACAAACATTAAACACAGATGTGATGATCTCAGTTTCTTCAGTACCTGCACATGTGTAGTTTCCACCACTGCAGCTCAGAATTATGACACAATTATTTTGTTTTTATAATTTATTTGAAGTTGTTGAACAAACATGATCAATAAATACAGAATGAGCAGAGCTGCTGTCTGACGATGGAAATACACATGCTGGAAAAAGAAAAGGCTGATCATCAACAGAGAAGAGTTCTGTTACCACATCACAGCCCTGGTTGGGGTCGGGGATAGCATACAGTATGAAAAACATTTTGTGTAAATTATGACTGATAAATGCTGCTGACTGTGCACTGGTTATGCATCTTTATGCATATATATTTATGTGATCATGATCCTTAAAACAAACATTTAAATAAAAAACAGATTAACAAAAAATCTGATAATAAGAGCGACCACAATCAACTGGCCTCAGATCAGCTAACAGTGTATAGTTCACCTGTCTCTGCATTTAGGAGTACAGTTTGGTGACAGAGCATAAAAACAGTCTCACCTGATTCTTGATTCACTCTGATAAAGTTTTCATCATGTTATATACATCCAGTGTTAGCTCCTGGCTCTCTGGCTGGCTAACAGTTAGCTGAGATACCTGTGCTGTCCTCATGTGTGCTGCTGCCAGTTGTTGATTCTCATCAAATTTGCTTTGAAGTCACTTTTTGTTTTTGTGCTGTTGGTGCCTGTTTGCATCAAGTGTGATGATCACACTGAGATCAGGGACCGACCTACCTGAGAAACCTGAGATCTATTATTGAACTCCATCCATCTTCTTAACCCATCATCCAGGGTCGTGACCTATTAAGCACTTACTGAATTAAAAAAAATATAAATTGTAAATTAATAAAAATAAATTGGATTTTTTTAAATTACTATTGAGTTTTTATGTTGAAATCTTTATTTGTTATATAACAAAGTTTTTCCTGAAGCAACTGACAGTCTGATGTTTGTCTTTCCTGTAACATCAACAGCAAGTAAACCCAGAGCCACACTGACAGCACAAAGTTCAGTCATACCAGCAGGGGGCAGTGTGACACTGAGCTGCTCTGTGGAGGGCTCTGCTGGCTGGAAGTTTGACTGGTTCAGACGTGATTCACAGTTTTCTGGAGTCAGAAAATAGGAGCTGGAACATCAGAGCACACGATCAGTATTTCAGAAGGAGGCATCTATTACTGCAGAGGAGGGAGAGGAGATCCAGTTTTCTCCACAGAGGACAGTGCTGCAGTTACAATTCAGAAACAATGGGGTGAAATTTTGTTGTGAAATTAAACGAAACATCATGATTAAACGAAAGTAACAATTAATTTATGATTTTTTCAGTTTAATATTTGTGTTTATTTGTTTGTTAGAAAGTTTGGCTGCTGTGAAACTGCAGCACAGCTGGTCTCAGATATTCACTGGTGAGACAATCACTCTCAGATGTGAGATTCAGGGAGGTGAAGGAAAGGTGTGGAAATATGAATGGACAGCACCCAACACAAACAGCCCTCCAACATCCAGTGAATACAGGATCAGCAGAGTTTCAGTGTCCCACAGTGGAGACTACAGATGTCGGGGTAGCAGTGACTATCTCTTAACAGGATGGAGTGATGCCTTCAGACTGACAGTTTCATGTGAGTTGGACCATGATTCATGTTGACATTTAATGTTTTCATGTTTACATCTGTCTTAACAGGAAAACTCCAACAATGATCCAGCTGTCTGCAGGCAGCTCAGGACAACAGTTTTTCTCACTGTGCAAACAGAAAGGAGAGACACCATGGAGGCTCTTAAAATATCAGCAATTTAAAGAGGAATGTACAGAGATGACAGTTTGATAAGAGAATGATAAATCAGAGAAATCTTTAGTTTGTTAAACAGTCTAATGTGTCACATGCAGGGAAACTAATTTTTTTTATTTACTCTGTGAATGTTTTAAGTGTGATTAGTGCTGTAAGAAATGTATTCTTTATGATGATTTAATTTTTTTAATGGTTTTGTTTCTTCAACAGCAAGTAAACCCAGAGCCACACTGACAGCACAAAGTTCAGTCATACCAGCAGGGGGCAGTGTGACACTGAGCTGCTCTGTGGAGGGCTCTGCTGGCTGGAAGTTTGACTGGTTCAGACGTGATTCAGTCTCTTCTGAAGCTCAGCTCATGAGAGGAAATGAAGCAAACAGAGTTATTAGTGTCTCACAAGGAGGTCTGTACCACTGCAGAGGAGGGAGAGGAGATCCAGTTTACTACACAGAGGACAGCAGTGACGTCACAGTTGTGGAGATTTGTGAGTTTTAAACTTTCTGTTATTTAAGTTTCTCATGTGTTTCATACAAATGTAAAAATAAACATTGTGGCATCAACTCCAAAGAAAACCTGCATATTTATCGCTCATTAGCTGCTGTTAGTCTTTAAATTGTGTTGTATTAAATATTTTTGGCCTCTCTTTCTAAATGCTTCTTCATCCTAAACTGACTTTAAGTGGACATGAAAGACTACATGTATGAAGCCACAGAGCCATAAAACAAACAAACAAACAAACAAAAATAAAGGTTAATCCTGAACATGTTATTATCCGAGGTCATCAACAGCTCAGCTAACATCAGGTCAGATCAGGGTCGGTAACCCGCGGCTCTTCCGCCCCTCAGCTGTGGCTCCCGCAAACTTTGGGTGAAAAAATTAAAAATAAAAGTCCCACACAACATCCCCAACATCTGCAGGAGGAAGTTTACAGAGTGAGAAAAAGAAAAGTGTGTTTATAGCAGCAGCTACTGCAGCCAGAGAGAGTCTGACAGGCCCAGCTGTGAGCCACATGTTAGTATCCAGCTGTTCACTGTGTTCACCGCCTCCAGAGGAAGAAAGTGTGCTGCTGTGACCTTCCCACGCCTCTCTCCATCTCTGCACTTTGCCGTAAGTTGACCCAGAGCAGAAAGCTAGTTAGCAGCTACGAGCCAAACTCAGAACACGGAGCATCAGCCAGAGGTCTCCGTGGGTCAGAGCCGTGGATCTGGAGAGAAACCTGCCGTTCTGACACTGATGTCAACACGACAAAGTCTGCTTTCCACAAGGAGACAAATTTGTGTTGAAAGTGTTACAAATGTGCACGATATGATCAACAAGCAATGATTTGTGACTTGAAAGCAGCTCACATTTGTGGATCTGTGTGAAGCTGGCAGTTAAATTAGACTCAAAACCCCACGTGGGCATGAGACGTGATCTGTGCGTGTCAGGTGACTCGTCCACATGTATTTAAGCTGTTGTGAGCTGTGTATTATCACCAGATATGCTGTTATTGTGCAATAAATATCTTTATGTTTTCGACCCTGAGCTGATGTATTTTATACTCAGGGCTGCCCGTGGCTGCATGAAAACAACAGAAGATGACCGCTCATTGAAATGGACTGAAGACATAATTATATACAAATAGTTTTCATGATTATTCTTCTTATTTTACAATTATTGGACCACAGCTACATTTTATTTACTTATTCTGAACTCAAACAGACCTGCAGAATGATGCTTTATTTAAAGTAGGCCTGCACAGGCCTGTGCTGTTTTTCTCCTCTTTAAAGTTTTTGTTAAAAAGTTCTTAAAAAAGTAAAAAAGCTCTTCTTCTTGTTAAGACATCTTGTATTGTATTAAGTATATTTATTATCATCTCTGAATTATGGACGATGAATTTTAAAGAAAGAAATCTGAAAAACAAACTGGACGTTAAAATTTGTGCCTCAATGATCAGCAGTTACTCAGGTTTGTGTCGACACATTTGTACAATAGTTTGTGTGAACTGGAGACCTGAAAAGTTGCACACAAATCACTGCACACATCTGTAAATCTTACTTTCTGCTTGTGAATCATATTATACACAGTTGCACCACTTTCAAGGTAAATTTGTTGCCATAAAAACAAGGATATACTGTCCACCTTCACTCCCTGTCTCTGTAGCTGTAAGTGGTTCTTTAAAGGGAAAATGCAGCTGTTAGCTGTAATGTTAGGATTTGTAGATCACTTTATAAATGTGGAGTGTGTGGAGAACAAGCTGTGTGAGTCAGATACACCAGTGGGCCACCACACATGTGTACCACACGGTAAATAAATGTAAACACTGATTTTTAAATCCAACTTCATTTAAAGTCAAAGTGTCACCAGGATGCAGTAAATCTTTCTCCTCTGAACAACAGAAAAAAGAAAATCAGGCTTCAAAATGACTTCGTGTTTGTATTTGTGTCTAACTGGATATTTTTCTGTGAACAGTTCCCAGTAAGCCCACTGTGACCCTGCAGCCATCCTGGACTCAGATATACAGCGGTGAGACGGTCACTGTCAGATGTGAGATTCAGGGAGGTGAAGGAGCTCAGTGGACGTATGAATGGAGAGCAGCCAAGTTAAACACACCTCCAACATCCAATGAATACAGAATCATCAGAGCTACTGAGTCTGACAGTGGAGGATACAGCTGCCGGGGCAGGAGGGACTATTTCTTCACAGAGTGGAGTGATATCATCACACTGACTGTATCATGTAAGATCTTTCATCCAGATTATTTCAAATTACTTATTGTGTTAATCTAACCTTTAACTGAAAATGAGTCATCTGCCTATTAAATAAAATCACAAATAAGATGTTAATTTATTTTTTTATTCCAGTAACTTTCAAACGTGATAACAGACAGTTTGTGTTTATATTACAAAACTGATCATTTAACCATTTGTGGACAGGCTGCAGTCTTCAGTGTCCATGAACAGCATCAACATGCTGGTTCAGACGTTTCTTCTCAGGGTAGAAATTCTTTCTTTTCTTCTTGTATAAAAATATTTTAATGTTAGTTTTAATTCAAAATTAACATGTAACACATATAAACATCAAAGAAAAAGCAAGTGAATGTTTCAGTTCAACAAGCGCTCCATTCAGACAGTAAACTTCAGCAACACTGTGCAGCTATGAAACTTTAATCTGAGTCAAACTGATTTAATCAGCATTAAATAAATCAATGAAATAAACATCACCCCACAGATACAACCTCAGTGAATTATGTCCAGTGTTCACTCAGTGTGGGTGTTAAACTGTGTGACTGGAGTCGTGCTTTGTGGCATCGAGAGCTAACAGCTAACAGTTAGCCAAGCTAACATTGAAGCACTTTTGCAAATAGGATCGAACAAAATGAGTATGGATTAAAAAAGTACACTTGGTGTAGCATCCCCGGTTGAAAAGATGGTCTCTCAAACTGATGGTTCGCAATCCTTTTATTAAACAGCCGTGTATGTGAACACACCGTAAGAGCTACAACATACAGAATAAAAGACTATTAGTAAATCAAACAGTGTGTTACCTTTAACCTTTTGACTTATTCATTAATCACAAATTAATTCTCCTTACCTTACATAACAAATAACACTAAAACTTGTAAATTATTGCATATAACAGGGAAATCGTTGCATCGCTGCCTAAACATGACGAGGTACGTTTGCGCCCTCTAGTGGGTGAAAACTTAGCCTTCATGCTTAGTAGCGGTCAGCAGCTATATGCTCCGTAAAACAACAAAATACATATCTACAGGACAAACTTTGGTACAAACCTTGTTCCCTCATCAACCAGGTGCTAAGAAACTGCTTTCCACTCAGTGTTGCACCTTAATAGCCGTTCTTTTTCCCATTCCCGTCCATTAACCATAGAGCACACCTTCTCTCTGTGCATTAAAACTCGCGCTTCTGCCATATGGTTTACGCTACTTGATTTACGGCACCTTGTCGCTCTGTAACTTTCACAATAAAAGCATTCACTCCAACAATATAATAGCCACTCATAAGTTTACAAAACACTTTACCAAATATTAATGAGGTCATTTACACTTGGTGACAGACAAACAGGGTATTTTAAAACTTTACTTATACTCTATACCACTATAATTACTGCTTGTGAATTGAAATGCATTCTGGGATACCTGGCTGCCCCACGTCCACAGTACCACCAGTTCATCGCAGTCGATTGTCTAGTATTGATCTGTGCTGACTTACTCTACATGGTAACCAATCAGATGTTAGACGAGCTGCAGTGGCAGCGTTAAACAAGACCCTCCACAGGTTTTTCACATTTTGCCAAGTTTGGTCTCATGAGGAACACAAACTCCATCTTTAGCTGAATTAAACTCAAAGGACTCCTGTGTGGTTTGATTTTATTGGAGACTTCATTGGAGTCTGTCAGCCTCTCTGATTGTTCAGTTTTCCTCTGTAAATAAGGTGTTTACATTATTCAAAATTACATTTAAGATCATAGAAAACTACCTGAACTTGATGTTGGAACCATGTCAGCGATGGTCACGGTGCTTGAACAATAACAGACACCATTCAGTGTAGTGTGATTTTAGACTATTATTAAAGGGAAATGTAGAGAGGACACAAACAAACTGACCATGGATTAAACATGGATAAAGTACTTTGTATTTGTGACATTTGTCTTTGAATAGATGAAGAATAAGTCAGAGGGAATCTGTAGTGTAGTTGTGCATGAAGACCGTCTAATGTGTCACATGCAGGTAAATGTTTTCTGTTTGGTGCTAGAAGCTAAATGACTGAGTGAATGTGTAAAGTTTGATCATTACTATTAAGCACTTACTGAAAAAAACAACAAATTGCATATTTCTAAAATGATTCTTGAATTTTTTACTTTCTCTTTAAAATCTTTATTTATTGTAACAAAGATTTTCCTGAATCAACTGACAGTCTGATGTTTGTCTTTCCTGTAACATCAACAGCAAGTAAACCCAGAGCCACACTGACAGCACACAGTTCAGTCATACCAGCAGGGGGCAGTGTGACACTGAGCTGCTCTGTGGAGGGCTCTGCTGGCTGGAAGTTTGACTGGTTCAGACGTGATTCACAGTTTTCTGGAGGTCAGAAAATAGGAGCTGGAAGATCAGAGCACACGATCAGTATTTCAGAAGGAGGCATCTATTACTGCAGAGGAGGGAGAGGAGATCCAGTTTTCTCCACAGAGGACAGTGCTGCAGTTACAATTCAGAAACAAGGTGAGGGTGAAATCTTGTTGTGAAATAAAACGAAACATCATGATTAACCTGAAGTAACAATTAATTTATGATTTTTTCAGTTTAATATTTGTATTTATTTGTTTGTTAGGGAAAGTTTGGGCTGCTGTGAATCTGCAGCACAGCTGGTCTCAGATATTCACTGGTGAGACAATCACTCTCAGATGTGAGATTCAGGGAGGTGAAGGAAAGGTGTGGAAATATGAATGGACAGCACCCAACACAAACAGCCCTCCAACATCCAGTGAATACAGGATCAGCAGAGTTTCAGTGTCCCACAGTGGAGACTACAGATGTCGGGGTAGCAGTGACTATCTCTTAACAGGATGGAGTGATGCCTTCAGACTGACAGTTTCATGTGAGTTGGACCATGATTCATGCTGACATTTCATGTTTTCATGTTTACATCTGTCTTAACAGGAGAACTCCAACAATGATCCAGCTGTCTGCAGGCAGCTCAGGACAACAGTTTTTCTCACTGTGCAAACAGAAAGGAGAGACACCATGGAGGCTCTTAAAATATCAGCAGTTTAAAGAGGAATGTACAGAGATGACAGTTTGATAAGAGGATGCTAAATCAGTGAAATCTTTAGTTTGTTAGACAGTCTAATGTGTCACATGCAGGTAGGGATGGGAATTGATAAGAATTTATTGATTCTCACTGGCTCCACTTTGAGAGTCGCCACCATCTCTAAGCAGAATATCAAAGACATTCATGCAAATTAGAGGCTGTGAGGGCAAATGTTTGTGCATGTTGGAGGTATTTCTCCTCTTTGTTGGGATCATTACTGGAAAAATGTAAAGCAAAAAAGTTCTTACACAAAATCAGCACAAAGAGACCTTAAATCAGTTGTCATGGTGATTCTACAGTAGAAACATGAACAGGTAGAAATGGAGCTGCAGCCTGACTGCTCATCAGTTTGTTAGGATGAAGTTCATCACTCTTGGTTATTGGCTAGCTTAGCATTAGCATGCTGTCCTTGCAGGTGCTTTAAAGAGCTCCAACAAAAACTACTTTGTTTCTGTTTGTAGATAAATTAATCAGTGAATGTTTAAAGTTTGATCAGTGCTGTAACAAGTTTATTCTTGAGGGTGATTTAATGTTTTACTTATTTTGTTTCTTCAACAGCAAGTAAACCCAGAGCCACACTGACAGCACAAAGTTCAGTCATACCAGCAGGGGGCAGTGTGACACTGAGCTGCTCTGTGGAGGGCTCTGCTGGCTGGAAGTTTGACTGGTTCAGACGTGATTCAGTCTCTTCTAAAGCTCAGCTCATGAAATGAAGCAAACAGAGTTATTAGTGTCTCACAAGGAGGTCTGTACCACTGCAGAGGAGGGAGAGGAGATCCAGTTTACTACACAGAGGACAGCAGTGACGTCACTGTTAGAGAAACTCGTGAGTTTAATTATTTTATTTCTACCAGACTAAGAGGTCATTATGTAATGTGTGCTAACAACTTTATCTAATAGCTGTGAGTTTATTAACCCTCAGATAAGTTTTCTGCTCATTAAGATTACTTGGAGAGGTGGGAAAATAGAAACATTTATTCAACTTTGTTTTTGATTTAAGTCCAAAATTGTGAGATTAAGGACTCACCCTGACAGAGAATGTGCTCTCCAAAAAACATCAACAAAACAATTCAGACCTTTAAAAAATGTGTTTTAGCTACAAAACCTCAAATTGAGGAGAAAAGTGAGATCTTGCAGTGAAAAGTTTCAGATTTTGTTTTAATAACAAACAACAAAACAAATGTTTCTGTGTTACAGTGTTGATGTAAACACCAGCCATACCTGCAGGTGTAAACATGAGACTGTGCTGTAACAATGTAAACACTGTATATGAGAGTTGTGTTGGATCTGATTGTTCAGTGTTCAGCATGGTGATGGCTGAGGGATCAAAGCTGTTCCTTAGTTTGTTAGTTTTTGTCTTTATGGCTCTGAAATGTCTGCCTGAAGGTAGACGTTCACACAGTGCATGACCTGGGTGAGATGGATCCTGAAGGATTTTCTTCGTGTTCCTGAGACTGCGGGAGCTGTGCAGGTCTTCAAGTGAGGGCAAAGGATGGCCGACTATCCTCTGGGTGACCTGTATAACCCTGTGGAGCTATTTCCTCTGTGCTACTGTGCAGCTGTGCTATACAGTTCTTCATGTAGCACAGTATGCTATCAAAAACCAGCTACAGGTCAGGGTGTTTGAGAATATCTCAGTGCATCCTGATGAAACAGTCCTGCCTGTGGCCTGGTTTTGACTGTCTTTGTGCTGATTGTAGCAATTTTACTAAGTGGGATGTGGCCGTGATGAAAACAGTTATGTGGTCAGACTGGCCCGAGGTGTGGTTTAACCCTGTAGCCTGTTTGAGGTTGATTTGTTTTTCACTCACGTTACTCTCCTGTTTTAAACATCTGAATTTTTATGTTTCTATTTGTCTCTAACTGGATATTTTTCTGTGAACAGTTCCCAGTAAGCCCACTGTGACCCTGCAGCCATCCTGGACTCAGATATACAGCGGTGAGACAGTCACTGTCAGATGTGAGATTCAGGGAGGTGAAGGAGCTCAGTGGACGTATGAATGGAGAGCAGCCAAGTTAAACACACCTCCAACATCCAATGAATACAGAATCATCAGAGCTACTGAGTCTGACAGTGGAGGATACAGCTGCCGGGGCAGAAGGGACTATTTCTTCTCAGAGTGGAGTGATATCATCACACTGACTGTGTCATGTAAGATCTTTCATCCAGAGTATCTAAATAAGGAAAAAGCACTTCTTCTTTCTTACAGCTTTATAACTGTCTTTCATGTTGGTCAGTAAAATGTTTAGTTTTTATTCCAACAACAAAAACCTGAACAGCAGCTTTTTATTCACAGTGAAGAGAACAAAACATATGAGAGTAACTTCTCTGCTGTGCAGCTCTAATACATGAAAGATGAAATGCAGAACAAATGCTGAATCTGTCTCAGCTGCTCCACCACATCCACTAAGAAACATTAAATCCACTGATTGTTCCTCGTGTGTGTTTTTAACTTAGAAATGCAGCAAATTAAATATGAAAGATTAGTGTTGTGTTTGTGTGACAGTTGTACAGTTTGGTGCAGCTTCACCATTTAAAGTTATGTGATATTTATTATTTCCATATTTCCACCAAGTTATTTCAACTGGTTTGATTCAGTCATTGACTTTTGTTCTTTTTCTAAACTGAACTGCAGATAAACCAAAGGCCAAACTGAGAGCTGATAACACAGCTGTTCCAGTAGGGGGCAGTGTGACCCTGACCTGCTCTGTGAGCCCATCATCATCATCTGGATGGAAATACTACTGGTACACAGATGAGAAATCCTCTGAAGCCCTGACCACACAAGATGCAGTTTTCCACTCAAATGGACAAATCAGTGTCTCACAGGAAGGACTCTACAGGTGCAGAGGAGGAAGAGGAAACCCAGTTTACTACACAGAGGACAGCCAGTCAGTCAGGATTGGGAAAACTGGTCAGTTTAACATGAAGTCAGATAAATTCCTGATTAAGGAGGAAGATGAAGAAAAAAAAAACTTCAACATTTTTGACATTCACGTGTTTTTATTGTACTTTCTTGAACAGTAACAGCCTCAAACAGGCCTGTTGTGACTCTGTATCCAAACTGGTCTGAGATATACAGAGGAGAGACGATCACTGTTAGATGTGAGATCCATGGAGGAGACACTGAGTGGGATTATGAGTGGGAAACAAACAGCATGATAAAAGCTCCAAATCAAAATGAATACAGGATTAGATCTGCTTCATCATCCAACAGTGGAAACTATCGCTGTAAGGGCAGAATGAAAAGTTCACAGCATGAAACAACAGAGTGGAGTGATTCAGTCACACTGACAGTTTCTGACAGTAAGTAGAGTCATAGTTCATTTAACCTGGAAATAGAAACAGTTTGTAAAAATGTGTTTTTATTAGTACATGTTGAGATATTTGACATGTTTAGATAGTCTCACTCTTAAAGTTCATCATAAATATTTGTGAGTCAACATTTTAGTGACATTGAATCCAGAGTTAAGAGACGAAAGATTGAGAGAAAATCTTTGTTGAACAGATAAACCCCGTCCTGTCCTCACTGTGTCTCCATCATGGCTGAGTCCTGGCGGCTCAGTAACTCTGAAATGTGCAATTGAACATCCGTTTGCAGGATGGAGCTTCTACTGGTATAAAGCTGTTCCTGATCTATCAGAGAAATCCTCCAGTTATGAGCTGCTACCTGATGGCAGTGGGACTGCACAGGACTCCTACATCATTCATGGACAGACACACACAGCAGGATATGTGTGCAGAGCTGGAAGAGGAGACCCAGAGTATCACACTGATCACAGTCGACCAAAGTTTGTTTGGTCTGCAGGTCAGTTTGAGGAATTTTAATTTTCATGCTGATGATTTGAAAGTCTGTAAATCTGGCTGCATGACTATCAGGACTCCTGTGAACCACACAAAAGGCAAATGTATATTTTCACTGTGATATTTTGATCCTAACATCTGTGAGCTTTGTGTCTTCACTGCATGTTGTTTCCAGATGTTCATTCAGCAGCGTCTCTCACAGTGAGTCCTGACAGAGTGCAACACTTCACCTCTGACTCTGTCTCACTGACCTGTGAGGGAAACTTCACTGAGTGGAGAGTGAGGAAGTTCTCTGAGGACGGCCGACTCTCTGTCTGTAGGAGAATGACTGGATCCACATGTAACATCAACACATCAGAGTCAGATACTGGAGTGTACTGGTGTGAGTCTGGATCAGGAGAGTTCAGCAGTGCAGTCAACATCACTGTACAGAGTATGTTATTATACATTTATTACTTGGATTTGGATGATTTAAACGTCACATGAACATTTGTCCCAGCTTTGCTGTATGTGAAGTCATTTTATCTGGAGAAAAATAGCAGTTTTTAAATACACAAGATCAGATCTTCATGATGAAAAACATTTGTACAATCTGTTCTTATTATTGTCTGTCAGCTCTTTCTAAAAGTGTGCACCAGCTGATGTGACTGAAACAATTGTGTGTGATTGTGTCACAGATGATGGTAATGGTCCTATCCTGGTGAGTCCTGTTCATCCTGTGACTGAGGGAGCTTCTGTTAGTCTGAGCTGCAGTTTGAGAACACATAAAATACTTTCCAATGTGTTTTTCTATCACAATGACAAACTTATTCAAAATGATCCCCGAGGGGAGCTGAAGATCTCTGCAGTGTCAAAGTCTGATGAAGGTTTCTACAAGTGTCAGTACTCAGGAAGAGAGTCAGCACAGAGCTGGATGTCAGTTAAAGGTGAGCAGGATCAAAACATGTGATGGAGTTTTCTAAACCAATGACTGAGAATGAACATTAGATTGTCTGATTTAATTCTTAAAGTCACTTGGCTCCATTTTATAAAAGTTTTTTTTTTTATAAAATTATAATTTATTAATAATTAATTGCTATTTGTTGTTACAGTAACTGTATCAGGAGCTGACAGCTCTTCGTCTCCTGTGTGGTTGATGGTTGGACTGGTTTGTGGAGTCTCTCTCATTATTATTCTCCTGCTCTTGTTGTATCGTTGCAGACAGTCCAAGTGTAAGAGCCTCTTTTCTGTTATTAATATTGTTATTATTATTATTAGTATTGATATTGACATTTCATTGAGTATCTGTCACGGTTAGTAAACTAAAACACAACTTTATCACAGAACTTAGAAAATTATCCAAATAAAAAAAACTAGGAAAACAAATTTCTACAAATCTTATTAAAACAAACTTTGATGAAGGATGTGACAGTAAAGGAAGATTGAGACAGTCTATAAAACACAATATAATGAGATGATGGGAAACAGGTGGGAACACAGTGATAACTAATGCCCCTTTTCCATTAGTACATTGGTGGACAACTCCAGGCTTCGAGGACCGGTGTCCCTGCAGGTTTTAGATGTGTCCTTGAACCAACACAGCTGATTTAAAAATTAGGTCCTCAACATGTCCTGAAGTTCTCCAGAGGTAACAAACTAATAATGTGATTCAGGTGTGTTGACCCAAGGTGAGATCTAAAACCTGCAGGACACCGGCCCTCGGGGCCTGGAATTGCCACCCCTGCATTAGTACCTACTTGGATCAACTCACAACTATTCGAATCGTATTGACTGGTTTTCTATTACAGTCAAGTACCACCTAATGTGTGTGGTCGTCCTAATAGCAACGTGGCTGAGCATCCTGTGACGTAATTAGGATGCGTCACACACACTACAATGAAGGTGGACGTTGAGGTGATGATAAACCTGCTGCTCAGTCTGTGAATTTTCGTCACACTCTGGGACCACGGTGTTGCTTTTGTAGCTGTTTTCCTCATTGCTGGGTTTCAAAAATGGCTGATTTGATTTTCATCAATGTAATACTCTCATAAGTCATTGAGTGACGCCACTGAGCAGTCAATCAGTGGGATGCAGGCTGTTGACGTCACATTTTGGGACCGCCTCGGGTCGCCTGGAACTCCGGCTGAGTAAATACTGAAAAAGTACCTGGTAACAGGAACTATGACCTGATGGAAAACCCTGAAAACCATGGTGACCTGACCTGAGTAGTTACTAATGGAAAAGAGGTTAACAGAATGACTATGGAGGATGTAAAACTAGACCCACGATACAGACGAGAACAGAGTCCAAAATAAAACAGGAAATGAATGACACTGAGACCTGGAGTAAGACACACGAGCTTGACACAGACAGTAGACAAAACATGGAGACCAGAGAGAAAGAACAGAGTGAGAACACAAGGGGATAAACAACCTCTCATTAACCAAATAGACAGATAACCATAATGTAAACATAACATCATACGAGAAAACGAGAATGTCAACAATACAAAATACAGAACTATGAAACTAAGAATGATCAAAAATAGAAAACCAGAGAAACCAAAACATCAAACCCCGGGTCAACCATTCAGGGACCTTGAAGGAAGCACAGGCAGGAAGTTACCTGCTACACATTGTTACCTGTTGCACCTCCAGTGTTGGGAAGGTTACTTTTAAAATGTATTCCATTACAGAATACAGAATACATGCCCCAAAATGTATTCTGTAACGTATTCCGTTACGTTACTGTCATGGTCCTGCGACCATGACTCAGTGACTTTATGTTTATGTACTTATTGTTATTACTTTCATTATTATTCATGGCTGTTTTGGGATGGTTTGTGTTTGGGATTTTAGACACTGGGTTCTGGGTTTGTGCTCCCTCTGTTGGTCCCTGGTGTTAGTGTTCCCCTGTCTCGTCAGGTTAATCAGGTCCAGCTGTTTCCCCCATCTGTGTGTGATTTCCCAGTGTCTCTTTGTATATTTATAGCGTGTGATTTCCTCTGCTCCTGGTCGCGTCGTCTGTGTTCCTACCTGTGTTCATCCTCTGTGTTACCCTGCGTACTCTGCATCTACCCTGTGAAATCCTCTGCGTGCTCTCCCTGCTGTTCTCCCTTCGTGTTCAGGTTTGCCACTCCTTTGTGTAGTTTCACCCAGTTTAGTTCATCCGTAGTTCTGTTTTGCCATCTCCTCTTTATGTTTGTTATTATCAATAAATCACCCTCACACCTGAATGAGTGCTGCGCTTTGAGTCCTCCTTCCACTCTCCACACGGCCGCTGCCCCGGACCGTGACAGTTACTCAATGACAGTAACGTATTCTGAATACTTTGGATTACTTAATATATTATCATGCTTTTTACAACAACGTGAATGTACTATTGCTGTGTGATTTATTACTATTACTGAAGGTGCGCGACTCCGAACTGTAGTAAAGGGACCTCTGACTAATACGGCGGGGTCCCTGTCGGCTCGTAGCCAAAAAATAGCTTTACTTTGTTGTCTGGGTCAACTTTTCTTGCGAGAGACAGAAAGAGGCGTTGAAAGGCTGCTCCAACGGAACTTATTGTTTTCGGAGGAAAACACGAACACGGTGTACAGTCGAGTCTTAATAGCTTACTTACAACTGGGCTCGTCAGGCACTCTTCTTGGCTGAAGTGGTTATTATTATATTTACATGCTTCCAGCTCCCGTTTTTCCTCGATGACAACTCGTACCTTTCCACTCCCCTTTTTCTCCCTCCTCGCGCTCACAGACACATAACGTGTATGGCAGTCCATTCTCCCTGCAACACGGACTACACTGCCCATGATGCTACATTCTTTAGAGCTATGCTTGTAGCATTCTGCCTGTTAGCTTAGCACAACAACAACAGCAACGAAAAGGCGCTCTCTCTCTCTTTTTTTTTTCTTTTTTTTTCTTTTTTCGTCCCGTTTGGATCTATAGCCATCAGAATTGTTATCTTGAGGCCAAGAAAGATGCCAAGCGGATTTATTTTACCAAGTGGATCATCATGGCCTTGCCATATTGGTCCATTTGATTGACCTTTATTATAATTATGAATTTATTTTATTTTTAGTTGCAAACGGGACAGACATGACTGGGGATAGGACAGGGGGAAAGAATGAAAGAAAGAGGGGGAGAGAAAGAAAGAAACCAAAGGGGAGAAGAGACGGTGAGAAGGGGGGAAGAGAGAAAAAACAAACAAACAAAAAAAAAAACAACTCCTGGGTCACCTGTATGGAGAAAAAAAACAGAGGAGACAGCAAACAACAAAGAGCAACATAATAATAGAAAAAAACCCAGCACCATCACAATAAACTAGCCAGCCATTGATATCAATAGTTACTAAATAATAAACGATATTGTGCAACACGCAAGATAGACAGCACACAGTGTGCTTTGAGGCAGCAGCCAAGAAAGCTGTAGTCCGCATCTGTGAATACCCATGTGTACACCTGTGTGCATACCTGTGTGGATCAGCATGCTTGCATTCCAAAGGTTTCTCCATGTAATGATCTGCTAGGGAGTGTGGGGAGCCACAGCCCTGTCCTTTATGGTATCAAGCAGGTATGGAGGAGATCAAAACTCCAGACATCCAGAGGCCCCAGAACACAAGAGACCAAGGAAGACCCACAGAGGGGCAGCTGCGCCACTGTCCCAGTAAGAGCTAAGGAGAGTCCCAGATGAGGGCTCATTCAGCAGCCGCGGAGCAGAAGCCAGGGGAGTTGCAGTGACGCGCCCATGAGCTCCGCCGGCAGCCAGCTGTGCCTGAGTG